CAAATTCAAATTCATAGCTTTGCTAGAAGTTGTGATCAAACTTTTGAGGGCTTAACTTGGTAGTTGCCTTTTATTTTATGTGCAAGTTTAGGACTTTTTTATTGATAGATGTTAATTTTTTGTGACAGACATTGTTATCTTTTATATAATTGTATGATATTGAATGCTTCCCATGCAACGTATGATAGAGTTGGTGCTAATTATAACAAAAAAAAAAGATTTAAATGAAAAAGCTTGTAGGTTAGTTTCATGACTGTCTATTATAAAAATACTTAAGGTGAAAAAAAAGGCATGTGGATGTGTGTAAGCGATCATATTTTATTATAAAATTTATAGGGAAAAAAATCCATGTTGCACCTTTCCAACAAGGCTTATTCATTGTTCACACGTGCGTCGTAAATGGAAGTTTAACATGCACAATGCAGGTAAAATCATTAAGTTTCACTAGAAATACAATCCTAAAATATTTAAAGACGCTACGTCCCAACATATTTTTTTTTTTTAAAAAGGCACAATTCCGTCCTTTCTACTAGTTTGAATATGTTGACCATTTACTTTAACCATCAGTGCCGATGTGGCACATCCACGTTCCCATTTACTCCTCATTGTCTTCCTCCTCCCTCTTCACTCCCCGTTCCTCTCCTTTGCACGTTTCATAGACCAATAAATGTCTCCTTCGTCGTTGTTTTGATGGCCGACTCTCCCACCAAATTTAAGCAACAACAACATGTTGAGGATATCAAGGTCCTTTGGAAATCGATTTTTGGCTGCTTTCACTATTAGGCGCAAAATCTAAATTTGAACAGTAGTCAAATAATCAGAAGCAAGAAAGACTCCAATTAGAATTGGCCCCAGGTTAACAAAGATGCATCTAAGCTCCAGATTGTACAGAATCCAAAATGGAAAACCAAAATATCACGCAATAACAGTGCATGTCTTCAATAATGAATGCAAAGCAATAATCGCAATAATTGACAGCTCAAATCTACAATTAAATAATCGACCACCCATGCAACTGAAACCGAAATGAAAAGGAAAAAATCAATAACAAGCAAACAAGAAACCACCGTAGCTGGTTCATTTCCCAAACCCAGGTCGACAATGAAGCTTTATGAAAGCAAAGTATTGAGCTCGATTGGCAGTGCCAACGATGTTTAATGTGGGGTTGAGTGAAGTTCTTCCCTTTCACAAACCCGGATTGACTGCAAAGCTTTATGCTTGGAAACTAAGGAACCTGCAGGCTTAGACTAACAGTGACGATAACAACAACGGTTAATGTGAGTTTGTGCGATGTTCTTGATCTCATCGAATATGAGGTTGTAGAGATGGGTGGCGGTGCGTTGATGTCGCTGGAGACGAGGATGCAAAGTTGAGTGTGGTGGCGCATGACTAGATGGAGTGGGTGGGGTGGTGGTTTATAGGGTCTTAAACGAAGGAGATCAAAGGGGTTTGCTGGCACTGAACGAAGAGGTGGGGTGGAATTTGCTTCCATGGAAGAGTGGGCTTGGAGGAGGAAGAGAGGGGAGAAGAGGAAAAAGCTCGCAGGGAGAGGATGCGTGGTCACGTGCTTAACACGGCATCAGTGGGTGGGCCCAAGCCCTAAGATTATATGCCACCTCAACACTTCATAGTCAAACTAACCTTAACAGTAACGGAGGGCGACATTGTACTATTCAAACAAACAGTGATTGGGCCTCGGCAATTTGTGTGTTTGGTTCACATTTATAGGATGGTCATTAAATTTATCCTCAAAGTACATGTTATACACTTATACTCCTCTGACATAAAATATATGTATTTTCTCCTGACTAACATTTATTCAAAATATAAACAATTTAATTTTTTTTATTTTTTTTCATTTCACTTCTTATATTTATTAACCTAGATTTGTGTGTGTGTGAATTTATGATATTTTTTGCACTCATCATAAATTAAAACTAAGGAAAAAATAAAAAATAATATATATTTTTATGAGAATAAAAATTTAATTGATATATGTTTTATTGTTAAAATATGCTTATGTTTTGGCTCAAAAGGAGTGCATATTGGTCTTTACCTTTTGTCATTTCATTGTCAATATTTAAAATATGTCATAATTATTATGATTTATGAAAACTATGATTTGTGATATGTTTTATATTTTTATTGCTATTCCTTCCAATTCCTGGTATAGGATGTATTTTGGAAGAATTTTTTTACTCTTAATATAAGGCATTTGCCAGTGGAGTATTAAATACATTTTTTTTAATTTTATTCATATTAAAACTCATTAATAATGAGAGAGAATGTAATGTAAATTTAAAAAATATTTTATTTAAATATGAGTAAAATTAGACGTTTATTATATTTTCAAAAAAAATTAATAATTTCATTACCTCTCATATTAGTTTTAGAGAGATAATTAGAAGTGTTTTATAATAAAAACCAATGAGAGGAAATAATTAGCAATAACTATTTTTTATTAGTGTATGAAATATGGTTAGAAGTATATGGTATCAATAAAAGTATTTTTCTCACCTCCACGAAAAAATGATTTGTCTTTTCCTTTTTATCCCTGTTCCCTTTATTATGAAAAGTGAGGATAAGTGTTTAGTTACAAGCATTTTAATTTCTTTCAATTAATTTTGGTCCCAAATATAAGTAATTTAATATATGTAAAAAAAAAATCCTATTTTACTTATTATATTTATTAATCTAGATCTTTATGTAAACATATCTCTTACTTATTATAGAGTTTATTGGTCATTGGGATTTAAAAAAATAATATATATTTTTATGAAAATGAAGACTCTATTGGTAAATGAATTTTTTCCAAAAATTATTTATATTTTAGCTCGAAAGAAGTATTTTTCATGCTCATATGAATAAATACTTGTATAAGGATAGATTTGAAAAGGTAATTTTAAAAAGTACTAAGTGTAATGCATTTTTTACAAGCTTAGCTGAGAAAAGATGCCCGAAATTTAGGTAGGAATAATATTTATTTCTCAATTTTATTTATAAATAGACTTTCAAACATATTTCATCAAAAATAAAAAAATTTAAAACTCATTAACATGTTTAAAAAATTTAATAAATTTTATTTTTATTAAATATATATATTTTAACAACATATTTTTTTAAAAAATATTTAATCATGTAATTTATAAATAGAGTTAAAAAAATAATCTCTCTCTGTTTTATAATAGAAAAGGAGAGATTATAATACAATGCATCACATAGTTAGCCACGCGACAATTTGGAAATGGGGATTGGAAATGAACAATAATTTCAAATAATATTTTCCAACAGTGATATACTGTGATAGTGTAGGCATTAATCACTATTAAATAATTTAGCACAGTAGCAAATACATCATCTGATTATTGATGTTGCCTGAACGCCACCGACAATTTGCCAGCTGTACTGCGGTATCTATTCATGTATGCCACTCGAAGGCCACGCGAAAATAGGAATAATTTTGGATAATCACATGATCATTATCACAAAATACTAATAAAAATATCACCAATAGACATGTCAATGCTCGAGTGATTGATTGCTGAGTAGATGTTGATTAACGTAGGGCTATAATAATGTGTATTCTAACACTAGTTTCCGAATCAGTTGAGGGACATTTTTATTTATATTTTTTACGCATGATTACACACAAATAATGTTGGTATGAAAATATAGGCCAAAATAAAAAATAACGTTAACATTAGGAGTGAGTTGGGAGGTTGTGATTGATGTTGCTGTTGCACCCACTTTTGATGAAAAACGCAACCTAATTATTATTTTCATCCTAATATTATGTGTGCGTGTGTGTGTTTTTTGGGTAACGCTTATGAAAACGAAGTTTGACTGCCCCTGAATTGAATTGATAAATTTTAAATTATGTTTGTTTACAAATTATTACAAGTTGTCGAGTGTTGATATTTAAATTTTTAAGTAATCTACGTATATTTTAACGCGGTAATGGTTCACAAAATCGTGAGAAGGCCATGACCATTCACCGGCAATCTGGCAAAGTGACATTCAATTTCCAAAAGTTAACTTGCATCAAATAAACCAACCAGGCTACGGAAAACTTGAAGATTGAATAGTGTAACAAAAGTCATCGCGAATTGCGCCAAAATTAGCTTTTCATAAATATGAAAAAGTTGGTAAAATGATATTGACAAGAGGTTAGAAGTCTGAACAGTTTCAAGGTTGATAAACCAGCCAGTAATAAGCTATATTTAATATAGACGAATTCACAGCCTTGTTAAATTTTTAAATAAAAGTTAAGTTGCGACTTATTTTAGATTGGAAAAAATATATGCATATAAATATGAAAACATTTGTAGGTAAAAAACAAAAAAATTAAGTTACTACTAAAATCCTGCAGTTTTTTTCCTTCTAAATTACAGGTAAAAATGTAGAGACAGACACAACACGCTCAGAGCCGAGGTCCAATCGGGTGCAAACCCCCCCCCCCCCCCGGGGGGGGGGGGGGCGCGTGGGAGGGGCTCAGAATCATGTGAGGGAGGAAAAGAAGAGCATTAGAGACAGAGATGCTTGGGAATTTGGAACGGTTGATTGGATTCCCATGCTGAGGAAAAAAAAAAGCAAACTTTAAATTGTATTGCAGGTCACTTACTTGTCATCCACTAAAGTGTGGCCTGACTTGTGCCGCAGTCCATTCCGGATTCACTATTATGATATTATCCTTACGTTCATTGTATTTACCCACCACAAACGACAACATCAAGCACAGCGCAGAACAATCGCAATTTCCTTCATTCATCGCTCAAATATTTCAAGAGAGTTTATTATGGAAGCTCCGGGTTTTGAGTTTTCTTCACTTTTTGCTGCATCAATCACAGTAACTAAGAAAAATCATTGAAAGAAATCACAAGATGGTTTTATTTATTGGCTTTTAGAAAGGCGTAGAGGAACGTGAGTGGGACCCGGTTGTCTACGTAGCTTTTTTCTCACCTACTTGAAAATTATGGCAGCGGTGGAATGCATTAGAGTACAGACGCTATCTTTGTGTGAAGCGTAGAGAGGGAAAGAGAGAGAGGAGGGGGAAAAAAATAAAAGGGGAATGCAAGAAGCCCATGATGCACTTTCGTCGTGTTAATATTTATTAATTAACATAAAGCAACTCCTTTAACTCAGAGGGACCAGTTAAATCAGACAATGGCTAGGACCGAGGGAGAAGATGATGTTCCTCGATTCAGGTCACCATCTTCGCGCCTTACCCTTATGTAGTGGAAGAAACCACCAGGTCTACGCTAGAGTCATCCCTTCAAAACTTGTGAGTTTCGCGTCTCCTTTTGATGTTTCCCTGGGTTTGAGGGCTTGGGCTCAATCTGCTGTGCCTTAGTTTCGTGCTTGATTTTGGATTTCGATTTGTTGTTCTGTGCTTCTGGCTAAATCTTGCGTGGTCGGTCTTTCCTGTTTCTGATTTTGCTGGTCAAGCTAAGTGTTCCCTTTCTTCCTTCTCCCTTTCTTTCATTTTCCAGGGATGGGATGGGAGGACTATGAATGTATAGTTTGGAGCTGTCAATTTTTATCATATATTAATAGGATTGAAGCTTGTGGCTTAATAACTAAGCCTTTCTTATGAGATTTGATGTATTCTGGAGCTACTTTGGAACCCCGAAGGGAAAGGAGGAAGAAGGAAGTAAAATTGGTCCTTCTAAATCTGGGAATGATTCACTGACAAAAGATAAATGTAGCGTGAAGTTGTGTGGGAAAATTAAGTGTATAATCCATGTTTGGGGATGGCCACATGAATTTCTGTCTAAAGAATTTGTTATGCCTCTGACTATAGATATTGAATTGGAAAAAGGTTTTTTCTTATAGTTGTTTCATGGTATGACAGTAGAGAATATCTTGTTTTAGTCATACTAATTAATAAGCCTATCAAAGTATTAGTTGCGTCTAATAGAACTTTTTGTTATCTTGGAAATCTATATCTAAGCACCCCCGATGAGAATTCTGCGACATAAGGCATTCATACTTAAGTTATAATGATATTTCGTTATGGGATGTGAGTGACAGTCTGATGATTCAGAAAGGTAGAGCAATTTTTCTGTGGCCAAATAGTTCTGAATAGACTAATTCAGTTATCATTTTTTGTTAATCCATGATTCATGACACTGGCATCGTTTAATTCATATAGCTGATCCTATCTAGTAGAATAAGGCTTCTTGCTGCTGTTGCTGCTTTGTTTTTGTTGTTGAGTCATGACATTATGAAACTAACTATTTTTTCTAGCGACTGATTACTGAACATCCTAAGAACTACTGTTTTGGTAAATTGCATTTCAATATTTCGATTATCCTATTGATGATAGTTCATTGTTCTGTAGGTTGGATATGGGGACTCTGGCGCTTGAATCCGACGATGTAAGGTCAGATATATACCTTTCATTGGGGCTCAAAGAATCGAGCAAAGGAGTTGCGGGAACTCCACGAGTTTTATCTCTTGTTTCTTCACTACTAGAGCGCTCAGTTCAGAGAAATGAAATGCTATTGGAGGCAAAACATGTAAAAGATGCTGCACTTACAGTATTTCATGGTTTAAGAGCACCTGCTCTGAGCATTTCTAAGTACGTCGACCGTATATTCAAGTACTCAGGTTGCAGCCCATCTTGTTTTGTTGTAGCACAAATTTATGTGGATAGATTCCTTCAGTGCACCGAAGTCGAGCTTACTTCACTTAACGTGCATCGACTTCTGATAACAAGCATCATGCTAGCAGCAAAATTTATGGATGACGCGTACGTTCTTGCTAACAGATTCTCTCCTTTTCTTGTTGTCATTGTTTTCAATGCTTATTTCTAATAGTAGAAATTTTGGTTGCTTTTCTAGCTGCAAAAGATAGGTTAACACGTTTACAACTCTGGGAGTTGTAGTTATACATGACATTCTTGCATCTCATGAATGTTTTATTGTGTTGAATTGGGTTTTGATAAAGTCAGTATTTTACATATAGTGTTTTGTTTTTCTTAACCGGCGCAATGGCATGGTAGTTGAAGTTGTGCTTGACATGGTTGTGCAGATTCTTCAACAATGCCTACTATGCAAAAGTTGGAGGAGTAAGCACTTGTGAGTTGAATAGGCTGGAGATGAACTTCCTCTTTAGCATAGATTTCAGACTTCAGGTTAGTGTAGAGGCATTTGGGAAATATTGTGTGCAATTGGAGATGGAAGCTGCAGAGGCACTGCAGATTGAGCGGCCAATGCAGGCTTGTCGAATCAAAGAAAGCTGGTCAAACAAAGATGATTCCACTTGTGCTTCCACAATTGCAAGATGAAATTGTTGACAATTACGTTGTTGCAATCCTTCGATTGTCCCCGACAGAATCAAAAATTGTGTTGTAATATTCATAAATGGATTCATTGCCATATACAAGCCATTAGTGATTTGAGATAATCATTTCAAGACATACTACATGTAGCAATGAGACTTCCAAAACTTTTCCTGGTTTCAGACTTCAACTTATAGGTAAGCATCAAAATTTTATGGTGAAGGATTGCCGGAAAGTGTCAGGACTTTTGACACCACTAGCACCTTTCTCTAGTGGGAGCAAAGAAAAACCTAGAGGCTGTACTTTAACCTTGGGACGCCAGGCCTAGGAAGTTTTAATTTTAAACTCAAATCTGAATAATGATTTAATTATCTAGGGACACTTTATGCATGTCTATGATGCAAATGAGAGAAAAATAATATTTTAATTTTAAACTTTAATCTAAATATAAAGTGACACTGGACATGGATGAGATAGCATTCAAACAAAATTTACTATAATTTACGTTTTCTTGATCAAGGGGCCGAAACTTAGCATGAGCATCGCGTGTTTTTATTTTAGCCACGTTAGTACTAGGGCATTGCCATTGTAGTTTAAAATAATGTTTTCAGAACTAGGCTGGATATTAAGTCAGAAAGATTAGTAATTCACGATTCGCATGGTTCAATCGGGTTAGATCAATGGTTGAATCGATAACATAATAATTAAATTAAAAAATTTATACATATATATATCATTAAATATTTTAAATTTATCATGACTTAACAAACTACATAATACAACATAATATTATATAATTAAAAAAATTAATCATTTTTTAAAAAAATAAAAATGAAAGAAAAAGGACATTTTTTAAAACAATTTGGTTTTTAACAATCCAAAACGGCTCAATCCGGCCAAACTTCTCAAATGACTTTTTTTTTTACTTGATTGAGCCATTAGCCTGACCGATTGACAGTTCGATCGATCCAACCAACTAGTTCGATCCATTTTTTTAATTATTAGTTTAAAACATTAATGATTTGTGCCATATTCTTGTAGGGAATTAATCAATAGCAGCATGATGTCAATAGCTCTATTTGTCTCAATGACAACACTGCTATTCAAAGTAAGGGTGGTCATAGGCTCAATTTTGTTTGGTTTTGCTTGGTTTTGAGCAAAAACCAAACCAAATTGAACCATTCGGTTTACACATAATTGGAACCCAATCGATTTTTATAAAGTTTAGTTTGGTTCAATTCTCTATTTGTCTCAATGACAACACTGCTATTCAAAGTAAGGGTGGTCATAGGCTCAATTTTGTTTGGTTTTGCTTGGTTTTGAGCAAAAACTAAACCAAATTGAACCATTCGGTTTACACATAATTGGAACCCAATCGATTTTTATAAAGTTTAGTTTGGTTCAATTTTATTTTTGATTTGATTAAAGTTTGAATCAAACTTCAATGCACTTATTTGACTTTTTTTTTTCTTTTTCCATCTTCATAATGGTGCAATATATTAAAATAAAATTTAATTCTTTTTGACTCTTTTTTTCATGGATGTATAAAAATATAATAAAATTTCAAAGTGTTAACAATAATTAATCATAAAAATTGATATCAATTTATAAGATTAAAATTATTCAATATTATACATTTTCATTTAAGTCCTTTAAAAATGTTTATTGATATATATATATTTTAATAAATAATGAAAAACTTATTATACAAAATCAAGCAAAATGCTGCTTATAGATAAATTAAATACATGAGACTTTCAAGTTATAAATAATTAAATGATAATCATAACATGATTATTATAATTATTTAATATTATACATTTCCATTCAAGTCCTTTAAAAATGATCATCTATTACTATAAAAAATACAAAAAAAAATACTTCTTGTAAATAAATGATTATATATTTTATAAATAAATAAGTAAATAGTATTTTTTATCAAGTTTGGTTTGATTTCTAATACTCAACCAACACTTAAACCAAATCAATCAATTTTCATCCCACAAAAGCCAAAACAAACTTGACTATTATTTAGTTTTGATCAATTTTTTTCAATTTGAATTGATTTTGAACACCTTTAATTCAAAATACAAACCCTTCAGTCCCTATTATAAAACATTTTTAATTACCTTCTCAAAACCAAAGAGATAATTGAATTTTTCATCTAAAAATGAAATGAACTTTTAATTTTATTTATAATTAAATGAAAAATTTTCAAACTTACATTACATTCTCTCTTATAATTAAATTTAAATAAAAATAATATTAAAATAAATAATTAATATCCTATCAAATATCTTATATTAAAAATTAAAAAATCCTAAAAAACACTTTATAATGAGGACAAGAGAAAGTATATAAATTATAAATATTAAAATTAATTACTTAAAAAAATTGAACAGCGACATGACAAGAAACCATTGCTCTATTCATTACCAGTGACCGCAGCCAGAACCGTTAACCAGCATTCTCTTGATATAGGATGATGCTAGCTGTCTTTGCTACGGCCCGAACCAAGTCCAAAAATGGAATTAAAAGAATGGTGGGATTAGCATCCTACATCCTAGCTTCTAAGTAATAAAATACTACTACGTATTTAATCTTCCCTACATCACAAGCTCATTGACAATAAATGACCTCATGTTTCCTATCAAAACATTTACACTTATATACATTTTCACCATTTTTCCCGAGTTGTTTTGAGACTCAACCTAAATCACGAGTCCGCTCGTGTAGGCTTGGTGAGTAAACCTCTGAAAAATTCGCGTATATCTGGTACGATGCGACGCATCAGCCGGCAATACCTGCACATGTCAGTGACAAACGAAAAGCATGTGGATTTATTCAAATTATTATTAAATAAGATAGCTTTCTTGGGCTAGACTTAATCCCCTGACCATTTTCCCAGAAAAACAGCACAGAATGGAGCATTCAACTTGCTCAATGAAGCATGAGCATACCATGGTTTGGCGCTCAGTTTATCAAATTGCTCCAACAGAAATAGTATGCATGCTTGCCTGAGTGACATGGCATTGAATGCCTCTGATAACTCGTACATAAGAGAAACATTTTCCACGGAGACATCCTAGGATCAACAAGGTAAGTGATGGGATTATAATATGTCCATAGAATAGTTCGGGGAAAAAAGAGGAGAATCAACCGTGAAACTACACTGTAGCCTTACCTGAGCAATTGCACATTCACAGTGTCTTTTAAGACCGTCCAAAAGATACTGATCAGCAGCTCCTAGGAGATCCTGAGCAATATCCAAATTGACATCGACGGTTCCTGTGTAAATGAATCTGGAAGCGCCCAAAGGCAATCAAGTCATGCAAACTGCGACGTCTATCAGACCAAGCACGGTAAAAGAAAAGAGTGAAAATATCAGAGAAAGGGACAGAAAATCACACCTCATCATCAACTCAAAGACATCCCATTTAATATTAGGAATCTCTATATCTTTGGCTTCCCTTTCCTGCAATGCATATTCCAAGGAAGTCAGTGCGGCTATTGACACTTAGGCCCCTCAGATTCAAAAATGCCCTTTTCTTTAACTGCTAAGTAATGTCGGGGCCTGTTAAATTTAGTAAGTCGAGCAAAATAATAGAGAGCAGCATAGTTGCATTAGTTTAAAATTACAAAGTGTAGGTTCCACCCTCACTTTCAAATGACTAATTATAAAGATGGAGAGAATTACGGCATATCTACTATTTTTTACACAATGATTGATGAGCTTCTTAGCAAAGCAACGTCACAATGACCCGAAAAATTTTAAAACACAAATAAAAGAAAACAGATTAACGACATTAATTAATGCCTACCCTGTAACCACCATCAAACATTGCTCGAAACGTATCAGAGGAAGCAAGTAAGCAAATTCGGTGGCCATAGAAGCGTTTACCTGAGAAAGGAAGAAACAGAACATTATGGGTACATATTTCAAAATTAATTATGCGCAAGAAAAATATTCAAGGGCATCTTGTCCACCTTCAACTAAAAACGTGACATCAGAAAGTGTAGGATTGTTTACATATTGCTCGCCCAAGTATACCTGCGACCAAAAATATATTAAAAAAAAAAAGTAAATATCAGAGCGAACCAAGAAAAAAATCAGAGCACACAATTTAATCCTTGTAACATTATTCATTTCTCTAGTTGGTCCCTCTAGAAAATCCCCAAGTCACTAAAATCCTCCAATCAAAATGATTTATTAAGACCCCCCCGGCTCAAAGCAAGCAAAGCAAATTTTCATCAAGAGATCAACAAATGACTTCAACACAAGGCTCAATGAACAAATAAAAGCAGGCCAATACAAGGTTTAGCCAAACAAAAAGAGCCCTTTTTTCCCGCTCAAGTAACATTCCCCTCCAAAACAACATTCGGTTTTACAATATCTTAACATCATGAAATTTGACTCAACATCATTTTGAAAGAGAATGCCACCCATCTATATTAACTCATGTCATATTAATAGCCACACGAACTCCCATTTATGCAACACTAATTTTTTTTTTTTGGTGGGGGGGGGGGAATCTTTAGAATACTAGATTAAGAAAAAAGAAATGACTTCTCGGTGATTAAATCTAATATTTCCAACAACTGCCACATTGAGTATTTCAATATAGTATCACCAAGTATCATAGTTTTATTGATTAAAGAAAGAAAACTTGTTAACAAAACCATGAAATTGTATTTATTTTTTGTCTTTGTTCAATTAGATGAATGAGGTAAACAAATGAGACATAAATAGCAGATTACCTGAGGAGTCGGGGATGGAGGAGCACCATCAAAAGGAGAGACAGATGTGGTTCTGACAGCCAACGAGTGAAGTGCCATTGAAGCATCACGTTTCTGTTTGATGTTTGTGGATTCAAGAAGATCCAGCAACAACTCAAGTCCTGCAAAATTCAGTAGCACGTTAACTGAACATACTTTAGCATCCAAAAACAAAATGCGCTACAGACCACAAGTGAATCATTTTTTACCGTTGTTGTCAACAAAAATAAATTCGCGATCATCAGGGGTACATAAATGAGCAAGAGCCAGAGCCACGCATCTTTGAACAACCTTTTCTCCAAAACGCATAAGATACAATAATTGTTTCAGCACCTGCTAGAGAAAGAACTGATGAGTCCTGTCCAATGATGCTAACAAAAATTGAACAAACAATAGCTAGACTATAATATAACATGCATCAATAAGTTAAACAAACAAAATTGCCAGCACAGAAATTGATCATTTGCAAGAAAACTCACTCGCCCATGCATTTTCTCCTCTAATCTTTTCATTGTCTTTCCTACGCACTCTTTTGTAGGCTGCAAGTCACATGAGACTTGTTAGGCGACCATATTGATAAACCAAAGAGAAGGATTTCTATCAATATACATTGACATAAGTTTACCATGCTGGAAAAAAGTTCCATTTAGACCGATAAATTTTGATGTTATAGAAAAATAAATGAGCATACTTGAACTTTGAAATCTCCATCCTGTAGTTTTTGAACACCGCCAACCTTAATAATATCCGCAACATTGTCCTATGAAGAAAAAGTTATATGATTATTAAGGGTAACATGCAGTGATGATTGAGCTAGGAAGAAAGCAACAGACTTCACCTCATTATCAGCAAGACCGTATAGAGCAAAGGCTGCATTATGTTGGAGAGCTCCATTCTTCGAGCACAGAAGGTTGAGTAGAGGCTCTATACCTCCACTATAAGCAATACCAGCTTGATTGTGTGTGTCCTAAAGCAAGCATCATAAAAAGCACAAAGGAATATTAAAGAAATGGCTAGAGGCTAATCTTACACAAAATTTTATATCACATACTTGATTGTATCATCATTAGAATTAAAAATATATGTAAAAGAAAATATACACCTAATAATAGACTAAACCTTTTAAAGCCCAAGATTAGCCCCTGATGAATATTAAAATCTAATGCCATCAAAGTTCATATTCTTATATAGAAAATTGGTCAATGTAGTAATAGTAACCTGAGCCAGTCTCCCAAGTGCAAAAGCCGACATTTCCCGAAGCTGTGCATCTGGAGACTTAAGCATGTCAATCAGTGGCTGGATAGCCCCTCTTTGAGCAATATGAACCTGCATTAAACACGAAATTATGTGACTGATTAAAGGGCAAGAACGTGTAGGGCATGATAAAAGTATTTCATAAAACCATCCAAATGCAAGTTTTACTTTTTGGGCCACTATCTAAATGCAACACACATAATTCAGCCCACCTTGCAATCAGAATCTGTTGCAGCAAATTGACCAATCAAAAGGGCTGCTTCTCTTTGACTCTCCGAACAGCAAGATCTGTCATTGAAATTATGAACTTGAGAAATGTGGTTTATAAAATAAAGGAAGAGAGCTTGTAGGACAAAGCAGAATTTTGGTGAACATTACCTAAGTAATCCAATAACAGGTTGTAGAGCTCCAGCTAGAAGAACTTCCATCTTTATGTTTGGAGAAGAGTGGACCAGATTTCCAATCACGCCAACCTACACAGCTCCTATTTCAGCTGGTTCTAGAAAAATTATAGCACAGGAAATTAAACAAATAGAAGATAATAATAAAAATTCTGTTAGGGCCTAACTGCTTCAGAATGTATTGCAGCATCCTCTGATCCAAGCATTAGTATAAGAGTAGGTAGCGCATTGCATCCAACAATCTGCAATTAGTGATTCATATCAACAACTATAGCAAAAGAATCTACAAGAGGAACAAAGTAGCTATGCAAAGTCATCCACCTGGTTTTTGTTCTCATCATTTTTAAATGCAAGAGTTCGTAGAGCCCCTGCAGCTGCCCTTTGTACCTTTGCATCATCAAATTCAAGCAATTCAACAAGAGGAGGGATACCACCTTCCATCCTGAACGCACAGTCAACCTCTGAGACAGGGAATAGCATATCTCTAGAAATAATGTTTCTAAAGGCTTGAAGAATAGAATACCTAACACGGGTCTTGATGATGCCATTTTCATGCGCAAGGTTCGTGATGGCATCAGCTGCTCTCCTTATAAGACCAGTAAGTGCCCGAGAATTGCCACAGGTCTTGTGCCTCTTCAACAAATCCATAAGATAGGGCAAAGCTCCAGCATCGACAATGTGTTGTTGATGCTCTGGCTGCTCGAGATGAAGTCCAAAATAAATCAATGGAGTTAAAAGACATTATGATGATTTCATAAAAAGATTGAAAGCGGACAAACAATGGCATCAAACCGACATCGTCATCTGCACTAGAACGGCGACAAAACTTAAAATAGATTGACGGATGAGCAGCAGAAACTCAGTAGTCTCTACCAGCAATGTATATACAGTTCTTCATTAACATCAGTGCAAACGACACAAATGGAGAAGTTCATGATTGAAGGAAAAGGTTTATGCATCACTATTTGTAGTAATAACATCATTAATTAACAATTTATATGACTAATAACGAAACATATACAACGCTTCAAAGTGTCATATAATTGAGATTCTTGAATCTTGAGAGAGACAGTGAGAGAGCGGAAGGCTGCAGTGCTGAATTACTTTAACAGCAAGAAGTCCAATGACGAAGGCACATCCCTTTTCCACCTCATGCTCGTAAGGCTTGGGACCACCATGACCTTCTCTAACCGGTTCTGGTGCTTTCAGATGCCTCAACAAAGCAGGAATGGCTCCGCAATCGACTATACTATTCACGATTTCCTCTGCAAAGAGATAATTATCAAAATTATGCACTAAAAAAGCCAGAAGCAGTACCAGAAACGAAGAATAACGCATGCAATGAACATCATCACATCGAATATCACGATGAGAATCGAAAAATCAAAGTAGGTAACAACACATGGGATAATTTCCAATTCCGCAATTAAACACGCCGAGTCATTTCAGGCATACAAAATCATTAAAAAGCAAACGGTTGTGTAGGCTTGGATACAAATACGAGTATATATAATTAAAGGATAAAACAGTTACCGTTCTTTGCGAGTTCACAGAGAACATGAACAGCACGCTTGGCCGCTAGGCGATCCGACTGAGAGGATGAGAAAGTGGAGTTGAGAATAGTGACTTGCGACACAATTTCACTCAACAGATCCTGACGAGGCTGTTGAGGTTCAACAACCAAAACTTTACGATCGGCCGTTGGTTGATCTGCTCCTTCTTCCGCGAATTCCTGTTCGAGCTTGCGCTTCAAGCTGCGTCTAGCAGCAGACGATGGGGGCTGATCCATCGATGTTCCGAGGGCAGAGAAGAAAACAAATTGAGAATATGAGGGTAGTGCGGGAATAAATGTGTGGACACCTATAGGCCAGAACCAGAAGGGTGTCAAATGAAAATGTCCGTATGTTATATATGCTTTTATTTGTTGGTTTGAATCGCCCGCCAAATTTTTTCCCCCAATCTTCTGGTATGGCCGCGCCGCGCGCCTGCGCCTGCCTCCCGCCATATTCATTTCATGAATCATTTATATCACATCAAGCTAATAATCTCTTTCGTGGCTTTATGATTTTACCTATGTTAAATCTTAAATTTATTTTAATCTCTTTATCTTCTCTAAATTTAACTCTTTATGTTGGAAATTTTTTAATCAGAGTCGAGTCACCTTATCTTCTTGTTTTGTTAATACGATTTTGAAGCAATGCAATAATATTTATTCCTTTAAAATAATTTTTTATGTTTATCGATGTTAAATTTTATTTTGCCACATAAGAAGGATTTCAATTTGCCAATTATTAATCTTTATCCACACTTTATTCCACTATTTCCACCTAAGCTTCAAAATTGTTCTAAGAAAATGACATTTTAAATAAGAAAAACATAACTTTGAGACCCTATAATTTATTTAAATTTTATTACAAGTCTCTATACTTTTTTCTCTATTATAATTTACTATAACACCAAAAAACAAAATTATAGGAATTTATATGCAAAAAAAAGTACAAGGACTTATGACAAAATTTAAATAAAGTGCAAGAACCTATAATTATGTCTTTCCTTTTAAATACTTCTTTCGGTTCTATTTATAAAATGTCCTTTAGAAGTACCTTTTAATCTAAAATATAATACATTTTACAATAATTAAATTACTTTTTTAATTTTACCCCTTTTGAATAGAGTGAATATATTTAATATAGTTGTATTATTATTTAAAATTAAAGGTAACAATGAAAGCACATATCACTTTTAATGATATCAAGAAAACAATATTTATTTTTTTAAGGCATATGAAACAGTTAAAAGTAATTTATAATAAAGAATGAAAGGAATATATCAGGATAGATATAAAATAAATCATTCTTGAAATGAAGGAAGGTATATATTTTAGTTAGGTATTTGAGAATTGAGAAAGAAAGAATATGAGACCAGAAAGGGGGTGAGAATGAAAGAACATATGTTCAGGTGCCGGAGTCCAAATGAATAGGGCCACAAATGAAAAGGCCCATAAAAAAAGTCCAATGGGCGTTCATTGACCGAACGATGGTCCTGGACCTGAGCCCATGTTTGAATGGAAATATTCCCAGAACTGAAAATGAAGGTGGGCTCCCCAAATGACAATATGGTCATCTCAAACTGTTGGACGTTTTTTAGAGGAGAAAAGATAGGTCCAAACTCGGGAATTGTTTTTGGCAAAAAAAAAAATGCTCTGGAATTGTTGGATGGCCTATGAATTTCGAACATGCATCAATTAAAAGGTTCTTTTGGATTGCTCAGTTTTGAGCCAAGTTTTAATTTTATCCCCTAACTGTCTTTCTTAAATGATTGAACGTCTTTCAAATCGATTCACAATTGATTTAGGTTTGTTGAAAATTCACATCAAGACAAGTGCGGATCTGGCCCGAGGCTGTCCAACAGAAAATGACTCTGGTTAATAATTCTAACAGCGTTTGACAAAAGGAAAACATCAAAGCAATGAGCGAAGACATCTACTAGGAGCAACTAACAGAATTGAAGCCTTGCTCAAATCAAGTTCAAGCCATCAGAACAATCGAAGTGCAGACACCAAATTATATCCCAGCTCAGTTGCTTTGATACAGGCCTCGAAGCCATGAACGCTTATTCCATATTTGTGTTATTAACGTAAAGCCATCAAACTATTGAAAATTAAGATTTGGATATCATGGGTGCCTCAATTTTTTTAGCCAGTGAGTATCACTGTAATAATAAGATTTCAAACGCTTTAAAATTTATGCTGAATTGGGAATAAATGAAATGATGTGTTAAATAATAGTTTTATCAAAATGCATTTCAATCGTCTCTCAGTAGCTACATAAATTGTTTAATTGAAATATAAGACATGGAAAAAGGTAGTGATGTGATTTAGCATTGTCTCTGTAGCTTGTGTTAACATCTTCGACAATAGTTTAATTCAATCAATGATCTCTGTACTACCATGTGGGACCATCATCGAATTCGGATCAGAAAAGAAAGGATGTGATTACGATAGCCAAAGTGGTAATAGGAAGCAGGGGGGGAATTGTCGGCGAGGAGGAGGAGGAAGCTTCCCATGGGGTTTCCCAGAGACATGGTATTCTCCGTCCACACCACGAGATTTACTTTGCTTAACCTTTTTCCTTATTTTGTCCTTTTCTGCAGCCTCACCCTCCTTGCTTGCGTGTTTTGTCTCTAGCCGACATTGTTGTACACAACATTTACACGTGCTCCTTCCCGACCCACCATCCCTCTTCCTCACTGGGTCAACACCACTCCTGCTGCATAATTAATCACTCCTCCATCGCTATTGTTCTTTCCCAGCTCCTAAACATTGATCTCCATACGAATCTATCTCGCGAGTTTTTAAATATATTACATAAGCGGGCTATTAGATTAGACAGCTTGCTTTGACTGATGCGAATCTCAAGTACAGGCAATCAATGTTAAATTAAGCACATTATATATGATAATCTGATTGTAATGCATGTGTGCGTCTGCTCAGCAAGATTGGACTCCAGGGAGCCCATGTTTGACGCGTGAGGTGTGATTAACTAATAAGAGATCTTCCAACTTCCAATAAGTCAAACCCTGTCCGAGTTCAACCATTTTCACCATTAATTGCACCCTCCATAAAAAATATATAAGTCAGTACACTCTTGGACTCGGGTAATCAAACTGCAATCACAATTATTGCTAAACTTGTCCGCACGAGTTGCTCTCACCGTACGTACCCGCATGCGTGCCATATGTCCTTACGATGTTTCTTGAAGCTGATGTTTTCCATCACTCATGGGATTCAGCATGAGTCCCACGTTCTGGAAGAGAAACCTCTGCTTCCTATACATGTTTTTCTGCAACTTCTCACCATCCCACCTTCAACAGAATAATCACCTTTTATCTCTAATCTCGAGACTTTTGCCACCACCATGTCTAATATATTATATATATCTGCTTGATATTGTAAAATATAGTATAATCAAATAGGAAATATCAAGTCTCAGGGAACAAACTACAAGCTCTAATTAATTTAATTTTCATCAGAGCATTCAGAAAACTGTGGTTAACTTTATACACTTTTGTTTACCCTGATCGATCGACTCCCACGTACGGTTCCTCACAGCCCATGCACGAAGAAAGCCTCGCCGCAGCGAAGTTCAGTGTCAGTTAATTGTTCACGGAAATTTACAATGGCACAGATTTTTCTTATTTGTGATGATTAGATGACATTTGCCTTGCTGGTGATAGTATTGCCAACGTAAGTGTACTACAAATTCCGAGTAGCATTATATTGATGGAAACGTGCACATTTGTATTGAGTGGGCTATGGTTGATGGAAGGAAAAAGACCTCCGCTGTCGGTAAAGCAGCTGATATTGGCGGATTTTGCTTTGTTTCATGGTCAGAGAATCCTGGCTAGCATCTGAATGACAAATTGATATGTGTGAAATACACTGCGTCCTTTTGGACTCTAGCTAGCTTCTGAACTGTACAGAAACATTGCAGATTTTTCATGTGTTTGTTTGTGTGTCTATATTTCATGTGTGCAGCGGGAGAGCAGTAATGGGCCCAGAAAATAAGGCTAGCGGAGGAGTAGTATTATTGATGATTCTTTAATAAATTTATGCAGTGGAGATTCATGAGCATTAATCTGTCCAATAATAATTTCTACATGCAACTAATACACACGCACCCCTCCTAAATTGTCACTCGCTCAATTTTATTCTCTTATAATAATTCAATCGGTGTGCGATTATTAATAAAGATTAATTATGTTGATTTTCCCTCTCTCTCTCAATATAAATGTAGGATTTTGATTTGGTGATTATACTTAGTACAAACAATGAGTGTCTTTACCATCTGAGTTATTGAAACTCAAATTAACATTTTAGATAAACTCATCACTCATGTAAATTATAAATTCAGAACTATTAATTTAAATTTCAACCACTCAGATAATATAAACACTCGGTGTCTATATTAATTATAATCACCAAATCCAATTCTGTATGTGTGTGTGTAAAGTAGTATAGCAATAATTCTTCAAAACATGCAGCGTAAGAAAATTATGTTGCAGATCGATTTACTTATTATTCGTGTTTAATAAAGGAGTTGATGATCTCCATCAGGTTGCTCTCTCTTTTAATTTTAATTTTTTAAAAAAGAAGACAAAAATAATGGACCGCAATTTGACATTGTAAGACAAAAGTTTTGGTCTGCGATATAATACGCGGCATCCGAGGATTTTATGAGCATTCAAGTGAATGCAGATGCTGGGAGCATTAATTTAAGAGTGTAATCCAATTAATACAACGCAAGCGTTATCATATAGAATAGTATAATGTAGTAGATGTAGAATCAATATAATAATTGATCTGGAAAGGAATCTAAGGCCACACCATCCCCACCCCATTTAGAGTTTTGCACAGTGTAAATATTGAATGATGACAAAAATGTCAGTGCGGATGATAATATATAGAAAATACTCACATTGAATAATATGAGTCGACGTAGCTAGGTCCCTCACAATTTTGTAGCAGAGGGTGCCACAGACCAAGAAACAGTGATATCTTGAGAAGATTTCACGTACTGGCTGTTTTAATGGAATTACCAACTCGAAACTGTAACATTCAATGAGGGAAGCCCATGCCTTCAGGTTTTATCAGTACCCTGACATTATGGCACCAGACATAGAGTACACCATGTACCTTGTGGTACTTGAATGCCATGCTAGTTAGGTTCCTTTCAGTCTTCAATCAACATGATTCATGTCTCTGATCTTCAACCCGGCCCCTTCACGTGCAGTCTTGAATTATAAATCATGCCCGAATATCTTTTTTCTTTCCTAGCTGCAATTTCCCCAAAGTTTGTATAAATATATCGCCTTGTTTGGTCCCAAAAAAAAAAAAGAAAGATAAATATATCGTCTTGTTACTTTCTTTGCTGTCATTTCTAGCTCCCTGTGCAGTGCTGGGCATTAGAAACCCCACCTTTATGCAG